TCTCTCTCTCTCTCTCTCTCTCTCTCTCTCTCTCTCTCTCTCTCTCTCTCTCTCTCTCTCTCTCTCTCTCTCTCTCTCTCTCTCTCTCCGCACCAGCAACTTTGAACGTCACACTCACTATTCAACAGCCATTTTGGCGGACGAAAATGCAAAGCCATCCACACCGCCAGAGGCAGGGGATAGGCAGCAGCTGTTAGCGGGACGGACGGGAAAGATGGACGACGGACTCAACAGAAAACAATCGAGCGACTAAAAAGAAAACATGCATGTGTGTGTGTGTGTGTGGGTAGGTGGGTGGGTGCGTGTGTGACACTGTGTGTGCGTGTGTGTGTGCGCGTTCGTGTGTGTGTGTGTGTATGTGTGCAGAATTTGAAAGAATACAGCAACAAAGTACAACCATGCTGAAAAGAAGATGCCTACACACACACAAACGACACACGCATACGCACACAACCCGCATACGGCTGAGTCGATGGAAAGCCGACGAACACACATTGTCAAACAACACATACATAAACAGACAACCCGCACGGCGCACACTGCTGAGTAGGTGACATGGGCGACGAAACAGTCTGCCTCAGTCACCGCTTTCTCCATTGAGTTGTGGTTACAGCGGTCACACCCCGAGTACAAAGCGCATCTTGCACAGCGAATGAACGTGTCCAAAGCCCGACCGCTAGCACAAGCTCTTACCTCCTCTAGCAGAGTCTAGCTGCCTCCAATCAGCAGCAGTCAAGCGGTCAGTGCTCTCTGTCCCCGCTCACGCTCGCTCAATTCATAAGCTCCTGACCTGCCGCTACCGTCAACGTTAATTAAGGTTGTCTCAAACTCGACCGCCTTCCTTCACCACACACGCTTCAACCCCGCTCTGACCAATTGACCACGCTTCAACCCTCCTTTGACCAATTGACCACGCTCTCATCCCGCTTCCACCACTTCACGACGCTCTCCCACCGCCTTGACCAATCGATCACGCTATGGCCCCACGTTGACCAATTCAACCGTTCAATTGACCACTTTGACCAATTCAACCAGAATTCAATTGACGACGCTCTCGCCTCTCCAATTGCCCACAGACTTACAGCTACACTACGATGCCTCGGTTCACCAATTTCGATTTCGACCGTCGCCAGGCGAAGCCAGCTATTATCCTCTCCTCATAAACGACCGCGTCAGCACATCCCCACTGAGATTCCGTCCACAGCCACAGCGATGCCTTCATATAGCTTTGTCATGCGTCGGCCTGGTAGCCCGCGAGTGATGTCCCGCAGAAGTCGCCCCCAGGGTCCAATCCTCCTCGTGCGGATAATAGAGGCTTCTGATTGTTTCTAAGAAAAAAGGAAAGAAACGCGGAGTAGCAGGGGTGGCTGTGACGATCAGTTTTGAAACGCTTTAATTTTCAATTTCAATTTGCCGACCCCGAATCCGAGTTCCAGGGTCAAGGTCCCCAACTCAGAAAGAGGCCGAACAGGCCAAAACAGAAAAAGGTCGCATTAGGTACCCCACAGGCCACACAGGTCAAAATTCAACCGGCACCCGGCCTCAAAATCAAGTCCCACAGGCTCCACAGCCCAAATGCAGCAGCGCTCCTAGAAAAGTCGGGAATGTGGCGGGCATCAAACCGGGCATCAAATTTCCAAAGTGCAAACAGGCCCGATACCACTTCATATGTCGTTCGTGCAATGGACAATTGTTTTGGAAAAAATAGTCCGCAGGGCCCACCTCCTCCCCCCCTAGACTACTCCCTACAGCAATTACGAGAAGAATGTCGATGACTCTATCATTATAAAAATTTGGTCATCTTCTACAAGGAATAAATCTCTAACAATGTCAACAAAAAATATTTTCTCTCCCAAACAAACATTCATCTTAAAGTTCGCTTTAGTGGTAAGTAATAGAAATAGAAAATAATTTGCAACAACCACGGTGACCCATCTTGAAGCGTTGTACTATGGCATAGGTTTCAATAGAATCAACAGGGGCAAGCAGACAATTGTTGTTGGTCCAGGAGTCAAAGGAAAAAAGAAGTATATAAACGATATAATCACATAATTGTGGCTAAAAACAAACCGTCAATAGAGAAATTAGTTTCAAATTACGCAAAAAAAGACAAGATTAAAATGTCCACATGAAGGAGATATTTGCAACTATCGCTGGAGTGAGAACAAATGATGTTTACGACAATGATGAGAAAAAGGAAATATTATAAAAACGAATACGAGTGAAATAATATTCTGAGTCTAAGTGATTTCTTTTATTTTTTTATTTTTACTTAATGATCTTTAGAACTTGACACATCTGAGAGTACTTAAAATATCTTTGAAAAAGAAAGACGGATGGGGGAGGGTAAAAACATTAAGTTTGCAAATCGCCTAATAACAATTCTTGCCTTGTAGCATATAATTGCAAGATGTTTACTAATGGGCATAAAAAAATGGTTGTTGTTGATTCAAATTTATTCCTTCTAGTCTGAATATTTGTGAGGATCATGCTCCATGTATGTTTGTTCTCGTTTATGGTTGGGAAAATTTGAGCTATGAGGAACAATTAGGGTGGGTGGAGCATATCTATAGATCTAGGGAATCATAAAATTGTCACATTCACCATTTGAGAAGGGTTGGCCTACCTATGGCAATATCTCTTTCAGAACACTTATTGAAATAGATGTACTTAAGGTCGAAAGCAGTCTCATTGCTAGGTGGTTCAAAAATGTTAAACCACCTGTACTTGGCCCATACATCAGTTGTGGACCCTTGATGTGAACGCGCCTTGTTAACGAGGCTTCAGGGCTACCGGACTTCAATAGCTGGTGGCACCAGCCAAAAGAAAAAAACAGTCACGTTGGCGGTTCAACAAAGTTTGGTGCGTAGAGCATTTTTGGGCTCGAGATCAATAGTTGGGCGAAATAATGGTGGTTTAAACTACCATTACTTTTTTCGGCTATTGATGTCGAGCCTAAGAACACCTTGTGTGCTATTTTTTATCGAGCCATGAGAGGGCAAGAACAGGTAAGAAATTTGTTGGCAGTACCAATGTCGAGCGCATCAGGTTATGTTTTTCTCGCGAAAGGTGAGAGCCCTCCCGACCACATCACGCATGAGCTAAACGAAACAAAATAAGAGACAGCACGGGGACAACGCAAAAATAACCCCGCAAACCGCCGATACGGACGTGGTTGCATTGTCCCTTCGTCGCCCTAGCCAAGTGCACAAGTCGTACTTCCTACAGTCTCCTACGATAGGATAGGTTCCCACAGGGCACAACTTACCTTCCCTGAGAGGCTGCCACCACCCTTAGGGGAGTATCCCGACCGAGCTACTGACCCATGTACGAAAGTTTTTAAATGTAATCACAAAGATAGGTCAGTCGAGGGCGTTTGCTCATTCGCTGCAGTTTAGGTACGCTTGGTTAAAATGTCGTCTGAACCCGGACATCGTTCGTTCACTAGGACACCGATCTCCTAAGTATGAGCGGACGCTGGTCGACTAGGACAGTCTCAACCAAGCGTGCCCATAACTCAACCGTAGTTCCTTTACATTTTGCTTAGCCTAAAGATAACACAAATAAAATTAATACACCTCAGGCACGATCGTCCGAATCGGCTTTGGCCACGTCGGGTAAGTGCCAACCGAAGTGGAATTCGTTCTCGATTGGTTTTTTGACTTGATGAGATGGTTCGCCAAAGTTGTTTTTTCGAGCATACGCGACTGAAGATACCTTTATATTGTTGTTTCCCATGCGGAGGCCCCCTTTCGACGAACGATTATGAAAATGATAGCCTAACACCTGGTATATGAGTAGATTCACTAACACACCTACCAAATCCTGTTATGAATGACTTTTGTAAGTAAATTTCACTGCTACATGCAGATCAAAGTCAGGTTTAACTTTTAACATAAGATCATATCCTTGATTCGACCTGTCTTCAACAACCTATGTAGTATGGCCGAGGTAAGGGTTGGTTAGGAGTTTTGTTGGTTGCTTTGTCCTCCTAGGCAATAATTACTCTTCCAGTTCCTCAAATGATGAAATACCACCTTCATCGTAAGGACACTCGAAGCAATGTCGCAGTCGTTGTCATCACACAAAAAAAGTGTTGCCACCTTTATTGTCGCCACACTCTCAATTCTCTAGGAAGTGGTATGTGGATATTCCTTCCCCTCGCCTGAGCATGAAACTCGGATCTCAGAGGTTGAGCCGTCACCACCAAGTTGACAAAGTACCACCCCTTATAAATCGGGTCCACACCAAGTCCATAATAGGGTCCGCTCCTCAAGCATACTAACCCACGCCTTGGATGTTTCCTAGAGAGAGGGGACGATCAAGCCTAAAGCGGAGCCGTCTGTCCCATCCTCTCACTCAACCTTGGAACTTAAACGAAAGAAAATGGGGAACTAAGGGGAATCAGGAAGAAGATTGGCATTCAGGATAGAACGGATAATCCTTAAGTTGTTTGGAATGTTTACACACATGTGGGACCCATTCAAAGAGATCGTAAATATGAAAATTATAGTAAAATATATTACCGACACTGGTTCGGAACAGAAGAACTCAAAAAGTTTCTTCGAATTATCTTGCCATTCGAATCCTTTTACTCCAGCGATTAATTCCAATTCAGTTTTTGTTTTGAAAGCTGACGTATTAAACTTCGGAAACCTCCAAAAGAAGTCAAAAAAAAACCTATCCAAATACAAAAAATGAAAGGTAACTTCATTATGGTAGTATACCAACCAGTTTCAAAACTTCCAGTTCCTATCAAAGCATAGAGATCTGTGACATACCAATTCTCTTCACTTCATTGACTGTTAATCAATTCGTTTTTCAGGGATTTTTTTTTTTTTTTCATCATACATTTAGTCTGGTTCTCATAACATCCATCAGTTAAAAATGACGATGAAAATCAGGATATCAAAATCATGTAGATAGATTGTCTTCCTCACAGTTATTTTTCATACTTGCACATCCATTCAATCAAAAAAAAAAAAGAAACATCCATAATCCACTTCCTAGGTCAGTCATTTCCCATTCACACCTTAACACACCTTTCCTTTGTCGTTTCGGAGAATATTCCAAAAATAGGGTCAAACAAGTGTGGATTCACATAGGCGTGAAGGGAACCTGAGTCAAGAGTGACCTTGAGTGATGGACAATGCTGAATGTTATGGCTCGCTCAAAAAAGTCAAGTAGAAAAATTCAAAAATATCGATGTCGCACAGTAGAACCTCGGCCTCAAAATGCTCTGTACAAAGATTAACTTGTGTTGCATCGCATCGCGGTGTCGGCGCGAATACCTTGACAAGGGTATCCGCCCTAGTTTTGTAGGTGACCGGAAGTAAGTCTAACAGTCTAACGCGTACCGCGCGGGTCGCGGCTAGTAGGTGGGATGGGTGACCAGAGTAGGGCGTGAGTGGGCGCGCAGTCTGAGGCGCGTGTGATATGTTTGTTTGATTAAGCGGTCGATATAGTTGGCCGACTTGATTTCCTCGGGAGGGTTAAGAGGGTTATGGTCCCTTGCGGCGGTGGCTTACGGGTTGGCATGATATATGAGGCCGGCGCGAATGTCTAGCCACGGCATGCTTAGTTAGAGGTAGGAGTGAGGCCAGGCTTGGCCCCTAGGCCGGAGGGCTGGACCGCACCCATTTATGTGGAATACCGAGCATGCTTACTAGGCTTGGGCCTAGCCTTATAGGTTATGATGCCGAACTGTTACAGCGGAGAAACGGGGATCGAGGCCAGCGGGCAGCGAGGCGGAGCAGCATGAAGAAGGCTGAGGAGTTGAGGGTCCTGTGGGATTATCCCCTTTGGTTTTTGTTGGGGGGTACGACCGCAGGCCCGAGAGGGAGGTCCACCACAAACCCGAGAGGGAGGGCCGAGGACCAAGTACCAACGGTCTACTCCCCTATTTCCGCTTCCTAAAGATTTTTCTAAGTTTCATTATTATTATTATTATCATATGTTTTTATCCTGTTTCTGGCGGTCCGGTATCAGGACTGGCCGCAGACCCAAGAGCTTAGCTCGATAGGTACACCATTAACCTGCTGAAAAGCAGATCTTGCAGGTGGGGGCTGATCTTGTGCAGCCTCATCGTGGGGTTTCTCTACGGTCCTTCGGGACGTCAATAAATAAAATAAAATAATTATATATATATCTTTTGGGGGAGAAATTTTTCAT